AGGTGGAAAAATGGGCCTCACAAAGTAGCATAAACAAGGACACACACACACACACACACACACACACACACACACACACACACACACACACACACACACACACACACACACACACACACACACACACACACACACACACACACACACACACACACACACACACACACACACACACACACACACACACACACACACACAGATAAACTAAACAGGCACCGACATGTTTTCCACATAAAAGGCTGCCAAGTGTCCCAAAATCTTTTTAACAGATCTCTTCAGGGTATGTCTGGTTTTTTCTAGATGGATATGATTCATCACTTCTCTTATACATTGTACATGTACTGGGGGGGTGGGGGGGTCCTTCCAACTGCACAAAACCAGTCTCCTGGCCAGAAGAGAGCCAAAAAACATCCTTCTCGTAGTTGCTGAAGGACGTGTCCACAGGGACCACCATGAACATCGAGGTGATGGTGACGGGTGAACAGTTTTGCCTCATATCCCAGAGAAGGTGACAAAAATAAAATAATTACCAAAAAGTTCTTTAGTTTGGGACAGGTCCAGAATGTGTGCAGGAGTGTAGCTGGAGTTAGTTTAAAATGATTGCATGCGGGGTCCAGGTCGGCCTTGATCTTGGACAGCTTGTCTTTGGACCAGTGCAGCCTATGCAGCACCTTGAACTGGATCACAGCATGTCCCAGACTGAAGATGAGTAAATGTTCTTGATGATCTTTCTCCAGATTGAGTCTGACATGGGTTCCTCCAAGTCCGCTTCCCATTTCTGTTAAAAGGAAGTCCAAACTGGTCTCCTGGTATGAACTGAGCAGTGTATAGATCTTGCTGAGGGTCTCCTTGGTATCAGACCTGAATTCCAAAATCTTAACCACAAAATGTTTAGAGGGGTACAAAGGAAAACAGTCACAAAATGTCTCAGCTGTAAATATCTAAAAAACTGTGACTTGTGAACATTAAACTTCTGTACGAGCTGCTCAAAAGAAGCAAATCTACCATCCACACAGAGATCACACAGTGAATGCACTCCCCTCAAGATCCAGCTGTCAACAGCTGGATCAGCTGCTCAGGGAGTGAACATGTGATTATTTGACACGTGTTAAAAACAGAAACTGTAGAGTTAGATGCCCTCACGCCCAGATCACAATTGAGTTAGAAGTGTAGGTTGATATTTCTTGTTTAAAGGCAGCAGAGTCCTGCAGAAGGAGAGCTGGGTCTGATCGAAGCCTTTTCCAGAACCACCCAACTAGGACAAGGGGTGTCCTTCTCTAATCAGAACAGAAGAGATTAGATATTAGTTGCCCAGTAACGGTGCATGAAGTTAGGAAGCGACATGCCTCCAAGTCTGTGGGGCAGATGCAAGACCCTCTTGGCAATCCGTGGACGCCTTTTATTCCAAATAAACGCTGATATCTGGCTGTTCAGATTGGTGAAGAAGGATTTAGTGAGAAAGATTGGCAGATTCTGAAACAGGTGTAAGAATTTAGGTAGAATATTCATTTTTACAGAGTTTATTCTGCCCCAGAGTGTGAGGTGGGGATTAACATCTAACAATGTCCTGTTTAAGGTTCACCATGACAGGTGGATAATTAGTTTTATAGCTGTTCTTATGATCTTCACTTACTCAGATCCTGAGGTGTTTAAGTGTTTAAACTAATTTGAAAGGTACCACAGTGTGTGAAGATGTTTCTGTAGAGTCACAGGCATCAGTTCGCTCTTGAAGATTAACTTTATAACCAGATGCAACATTTTTCAGTCGGGTCATCTGGACTGTTTCTTTTTTTGTGCTGAAACGTTTCACCTTCTTAAAGCCAGATATGTTCTGGAGTCGACACACACCTCGTCCGTCCCTGCATGTGTGAGGTGAAGCCGAGCAGGAACAAGCAGTCGCTTGTGCAGGAGGCGCCTCCTCCGTGAACACCGCCCGTGCTCTCGCCACGCCCCGGGTGTAATCAGCTGCCGTGGACGAAGCTGGTGGGGCTGCGTGCTCGTTGTAACGTCTCCTCACAGTCTTGGTAATAAAGCAGCCTGGACTCGGTTTATCATCCGAGCCTCTCTGCCCAGCGTCCGGTGCACGTGATCGATCAGCAGCGACTTGCCCAGCACCTCCGTTAGCATCTTGGCTATCAGGGTAGGGGTGAACGAGTCCGGCCATTCAGGAACTCCAATAATCCTAATATTGTTAGTTTCATACTCCCTTCCATGGTTCAAGCCTTTTCCTCAGCCCATCCTTTGGTCCCACGCAGAACCTCTACCTCACCTGAGCATGAAGACGGTTCCA